TTGTGGACAAAGGCCAATTAGTTACTCCTGTTTGAAACTTGCTTTCTCTTTCTGCTTCTTTAATTTGTATCTATGCTGTACCCATCTTCATATTTTCATTTCCATAATCAACAAGAGATTCATCAGAGTAAAAGATTATTGTGTTATTGTTATTATCCCCCTTATTATGCCTAAGTATTTCAATCAAATGGGTTTAATATGTGCCTTTTTTAATATTCTCTTTAATGAGCTTCTTTTCCCAGTTCTCGATTACTACTTCTTCCAGTTGCCTTCTATTATATTGTGTAGTTACTGAATTTATATGAATTGTTCTACTTATTGATTTCTCTAATGCTATCTTGAAACAAGGGATTTCAAAAGTTGAGCTCTCCTTGTAAATTTTCTAGTATTAAGATAAGGAATCATATATGTTTGTTCTATGTTTGATTCTACTATGTGAAGAAGGAACTTATTGATTTACTGTCATATGATAAGTCTATAAATATTTTATTATCTGTTTTGACTTTTCTATTTTATACTGTGATTCTTTTACTTTTTGAATCAGTGATCTTTTTATTTTTACTATTGTATTTTTTATACTCTATAATAGAAGTAATTTATGCAAGATGATATATTTATAGACTTTGTTAAGAACTTCTTTTGTTACAAAGTATATAATTATATAGTTCTATTTCTTTAATATAAAAGGGTTTTTTGGAATATAACATATCTTTACTTCTGTATTGTTAAATATTTTAGTTATCAAACTTGAGTAAATTTTATTAGTACTTAGTAGTCTTGTAAAGTTTTAATTCCTTTTTATTATAATAATGTTAATTTCTCTATCTATTATTTCTTCTTTGAAAAAGATAGTTTTAGTAGTTTCTATTCCTAAAATAATTATCCATAAGTTTTTAAATTTATTTTTTAATGAACATATCATTTAATATAAACCTTGATTTTTGTTTTTTATTTAATCTTATAGATATATATATTTCAAACTTCATCATATCTTTTAAGATATTCTTTTATAAGATAATAAGAATTTTTATATTCTATATCTATTAGACTAATATGTTATATATCTTCTTCCTCTTTTTTTTTTATTGATCAGAGAATATTCTTATTTAATATATTTATGTTTTGTGTTTGATTATTAATCTTATTTTTGAGCTATTATAAATTAAAGGTCTCTTTTTTTCTATTTACTTTTTTTAAACACTTGGAAAAATCTTTCTTTTTCTTTTTTCAAGTGAAAACTTAACTATTTATTTTACTGATAAATTTTCTTTGAAAAAAATTATACCTGTTTTGTAATAATTTCAATATATTACTTAAGTATGCTTTGGTCTTTTTTATATTATCATAGGTCATTGGGTAATACAATTTATATATAATGGTTTAGAATCCAAAAACTTGAAAGTTTGATATAAAAGATCAAGTGTTACAAGGTAAAAAACTATAGATTGAGGCTCAGATACTGATAAGGGAACTATATGTATTTGACAAAGTATGGAAAGTTTAGCAAAGTTTAGAGTTAGTATAGCCAATTAAAGTAGATAGTCCATTATTAGTTAGAAAAATATAAATAACTTACCAATGTATGTTGAGAAGATAGTACTGAATGTGTTAAAAAACAGTTCTTATTGTGAATAGAGATAAGAGTTGGTGATATACAAAAGAAACAGAATGTGAATAAAGATATACTTACTCTTAGCCAAGTCAATCATTACGTCTCTGCCTTTCTAAGTGCTCTTTATAGGAGGCTTTTCTTCTTTGTATCAGTTGTAAGTATTTGTGAGTTATATGGATTATGCGAGGTATTACAGATTAGTGACAAACTTGCTGGATTAGCCTACAACAATATTATTATCTAGAATGTTGATTATTATTGCTTCTATTTTATATTTATTCTTTTTGCTTATAAAATATTTGTTTAGCAATAGAGTCATTTATTTGTTTCTTGTTATATAGAAGCTATATTTACTTATATTATGATATTGAAATTTGTCTTTAAGTATTTCTACTTTTATTTTCCTTTATTATTGATCATTTATTATTATTATTTTATTGTTCAATATTGATTTATTTTTTATCTCAATAGTGATCTCCATTGAAGTAGGTTGTATTTTTTATGACTTTTTTTTAATTACCATATATCTAAATATTTATCTTCTATATAGTTAAAGCAAATTTTTTCCTTTTTCTTTCTTTTATATCAAATATAGGTAATATATTATATAAGAATTTACTTTTTGTAAAATATTATTTTATCTATTTCTAGAATTTTGACAATGATGCTATTCAATATGATATAAGTTTCTGAAATAGCTACTATTATATAATTATAGATAGTCATATTCTTTTGTTAAACAATTTGTTATGTGGTTCATAATTTTTCTATTTTATCATATTTCTTTATTAATTTAATTAATATATCAATAATATTTTTTTCTCTTTTATTTACTATTTAAAGTATCTGTTTTACTTTATTTATTATAGCTCATATATATAAGGATTGATATTATTGTTATATAGTTGTGTTACTGTATATTATAAATGGTTATATAAATGAATTAATTTTTAGTCTAATATTATTTTAATAACTATTATTAAACTTGCTAATCCTATTTTGATATGGATAAGACTTATGTTATTGTTTATTTATTATTTGATACAAGTATTGTTTATTTATTTTGATCAGTTTATTATCAGTATAAGGAATATTTTGATAACTTATTGACATTAATCACTTGATATTCTTTTGTTATAATTATTGATCTTATCAATATAAAACTTTATTGTTCTATTGTAATAAATCTTAATTAAATGTGTTTTGAAAGTTGATCCTTAAATATGTACATAGTTATACTATTTATTAATATATTTTGATATTAAAGGATTGGAGATCTATATATTTGGCTGTTTAGATTTTGAAGAGCTTTGTTGTTTTTCTGGATTTTGAAGGATTTGAGATTATTTGATTTATTAAACTAATCTATCTTTTTTAAAGGTTTCTTATAATAACAAAAAAAATGTTAACCTGTATTGACCTAGTTACAAACTTTATAAAGTTGATATTTGTATCCTTTTTCTTATTGTAATCTATTACTATTTGTTTATTCTCTTTTCTATAAAGTAAGGAAGTAAAACAAATGATATATGTATATAGAAGTCTTCAACTATCAGTTAGTTTGACTATCCAATATAATGTTGTCTTGTATTGAATTATCTTTTTGTTTTGTATTGTTGTTACAAGAGTATGTTTCTTGTATTTGATATTGTCTCTTTCTTTTGAGTAATTGTTTAAAAAGGAAATTCTGAGGATTTGAAGATTTTTGGAAAGAAATCAATATAGTAATTATTCTCCAATTTTTTTATATCAATAATAATTATAATTATAATTTAATTTATATTTGTTTATGTAATCTATATTCATAAAAGAAATTAAATGAATTGATAATAATTTAATTTTAGATATAGTATATATATTATATTAATATTAAAATAATATTATATAATTAAGATTTTATATTTCTTGAAAGTTTTAAAACTAGTAATTGCATTATATAATATTTGATTTTTCTATAATAAAGATATTTCATAGCTAAAGATCAAAATCTTCAATTACTGAAAAATACAAGTTAATGATATCTTTTTGATCATTAAAAAAAAAGATGATTTTTAAATCAAACTTATATGCAGTTTTGTAAAACTTCAAAAGATATATTTTTCTCAAGTAATTATGATCTATTGATGATAGTATGTCATTGATAATAAAAAAAGAAATGGTTTTAAAACATAATCAAATAAACACTCTTGAATTATTATCAAACAAAGTGTCAAATATGATTTTTAATACCATTATTGAAACCATTAATAAGTCATATTAATATGTACATACTATATAACATCGTAATAATAATAATAAACTCATTTGTTTATTTTTGTCTGGATTCTTTGGAGTTAGTTCTTTTGCAGTAATAAATAATATTTACATGGTTACGATCGATTTTATTAGCAGCCACAATAATCTAAATTGGATACCATCGCATACTCGAGTGATACAATACTTTTGACCGCCACTATGTTGGACTTTTAAGTTTTCTAGAAAAAAAAAAAAAAAAAAGAATTAGAGTATGGTATGGAATCAACATATGCCAATTATACGTACAGTACGTACATTTACATTGCTGCATTATTCACTCGAATAATAGAAAAGTTTTTTTTTTTTAGATAACTCGTCAAATATTATTTAATGATCGACGCGAAAATTTCCAATTATGTTGGTAAACGGAATACAGTACGTATTTTTAAGAAATTGGAGCTTCAAGAAAAAATTGTCCTTTCGCAATGCTCTTGAAATATGCTTTTCGGAACTCGGAAAATTTTCCACAATATATACACAAATCAATAAATTCCATTAATTCGCGCCAAATCAGGACGATCATATACGAACCGAGAAAATTTCCGCACGAGGGGGGAATATCACAACTGCCACCTCATTGTAACAAAATAAATATACTTCCAACAAAATTTACCCCAAAAGATTTTGTAAAGGGGATGAATCAAATGGTATACTTGAGTTTTGTATGGTTCAATGTGGATTCATTATTGAAGCTTTCGTAGAAACAGATTTTTATAACGTCTGTGTTTAAAAGGTTGTCGAGAAAATATTTGACATTAAAAAAATATATCTTCCGGTTTGGATGTGTTCTTTAGCATTCGAAGCCAAATATGAGATGTATAACTACTGGAGCAACTTCGTAACATATAGTGAACTTTTTCACGGCGTAACTGCTACAAATCCAATTTCCATTCACGGGACTGACAATAATGATTACAAGTAAGAAATATTTGGTCCGAACCACCTATCAACTTCTTTTACATTAGTCATTAAATAACTGAAGACTCGCCCATTGTGTAAATTTAGATTTATCTGGTTTGATCGCAATTATTTAAATCATGATTATTGGCAAAGGAAACCGTTAGTAATCGAAGGTACAGAAACGAGATGGCAGATGTTAAAGAAGAAGATAAAAACAAAACTCTTTGGCGAAGAACCCCCGGTCATTAATTGGCACGACGATCTGATGCCTGCAAGCGACGCGATTTTCAACCCGGATCCTCTAGACATGATCATTCCAATAGTGCTACCGTTTAAGACAAATCCTGTTAATCTTATTTTAAAATCACCGAAAGCATCTATTGGAAGATTTAATGGACTTTCGGTAAACTCAAAGATAAGGGAGATCATTACGCAACCAAAAATCCTGTTATTTGCGCTTTATCCTATATACCGACCAATTCATGTTTTCTATGTTCAAGCCCACGACTCATTGACTACGCTTTGTTATGATGCATATCAAGGATTGCCCCTACACATCAATTTTCATGTTCCGGGAACTTTACTGAGACGTTTTGATTACCCAGATGGAGGAGGCGTCGGCAATCTAAACAAAATTCTTGAGGCTGCTCAAAAATATGTCGACGACAATATCGACAACCAAGAATTATATTCATCCCCGATTGATTGGAAATCAGGGTATATACAATCTTATCTCGACCAAGGTATCGAAAATCAGGATTGGTTGCGTCTATTTTATCGGACAGCAAGGGCACGAAACGAAGCAAATGTTTCGTGGATCTGTCATAGATTCAACAGTAAAGATGGTGGCAAGGAAATTATGGATTTCGAAGGATTCGTGCAAAGATTCCATAGGCCAATACTTTGGCGTTCTCATTATCGGGGGAATGGTTTCAAGGATTTATTTTATACGACATTGCGAAAGCATTTGGCCAAGAGTACACCGGTATGGTTGAAAAACGTAGATTTTTTGGAAATACCGGTGATGAAGGAACAGCATTTTGAAAGAACTTACGATGAAGAACGAAAACAATCACCTTATAAATCAGAAAAGAGCACCCCAAGTAAAGACGAACAAAGATCCCAAAATAAGGTCAAAACGGAACCGCCAGTCTACGAGGATCAACGCAACAAGTCTCATTCACCAAATTCAGAAAAAGGGACCGAGTCAGAAGCAGAAAATAAGGTCCCACCAGCCCATGAAGAGCAATCTAAAAGGACTCAATCATTAAATTCAGAAAAAAGTACCCCCAGTAAAAGCGAGCAAAAATCCCAAAATAAGGTAAAAACGGAGTCACCAGCCCATGAAGAGCAACCCAAAAAGACCCAAACACCAAATTCAGAAAAAAGCGCTTCCAGAAAAAACGAACAAAACGCCCAAAACAAGATAAAAATGGAGCCATCAGCCCATGAAGAGCAACCTAAGAAGACCCAAACACCAAATTCAGAAAAAAGCACCTCCAGCAAAAACGAACAAAAAGCCCAAAGCAAGACAAAAACGGAGCCATCAGCCCGTGAAGAGCAACCTAAAAAGACCCAATCACCAAATTCAGAAAAAAGTAACCCCAAATCCCAAAATAAGGCAAAAACGGAGTCACCAGCCCATGAAGAGCAACCTAAAAAGACTCAACCACCAAAACCAGAAAAAAGTACCTCCAGCAAAAACGAACAAAAAGCCCAAAATAAGACAAAAACGGAAACATCGACTCATGAAGAGCAACCTAAAAAGACTCCATCATCAAATTCGGAAAAAAATGGCCAAAGTAAAACCGAACAAAAGGTTAAAAATAAGACTAAAGCGGAGTCAACAGTCCATGAGGAGCAACGTAAGAAGACTCAACCGCCGAATTCAGAAAAAAATGCCAACAGTAAAACCGAACAAAAGGCTAAGAATAAGACCAGAACGGAACCGCCAAATTCAGGAAAAAGCACCCACAATAAGACCGAACAAAAAGCCAAGAATAAGGCTGAGGCGGAATCGCAACGCAACAAGTCTCATTCACCGAATAACCCAGGTCATTTGGGCAAGAATCAACGGAAAAACTTGCAAGAATCACAAAAACTTCATGACCCCAAAGGTTATTATAAACTTCTGGGACTGGATCATCTTATTTTGGTCCCAGATGATGATGGGATAATTAAATTCGCCTTTACAAGCACCTTGAAAAGAATTGAAGCTAGTTATAATGGTCACATGCATCTCTCTCCCGAGGAAAAACGGGAAAAGGATGAGAAGACACGACTGCTGGTTGAGGCGAGGAATGCTCTACGAAAATGTAGATAATTGTCACTTGTATTTTCGCAATATTCTCCTGACCGGATAATATGTTAATTTGTTATTTATGACTTTTGTAGATGAACTGAGGGAGAAGTACAGTTTCAAAAAGATGATATTTTAATTGTTCAACTATCGTGGTGCGATCTATAATTATGGACGAAAATATCAGCCGGTCGTATGATGATAAAATACCGATTTGAGTCATCCAATTCTCTCGTCTTCAATTCGCTTAATTATTAAGGAGAATTATGCAAATAATACGCAATGTTGACCTTCCTTCCTTCCTCAGAGTGTCCAACGATTATTGAGTGACCGACAGACTACTTGAAAAATGTCTCCGAGTACTTACAGTATGTTTTCAAGGGAGACAAAAGACAATGCATACATGATTTATATAAGATACAGTATCTTTTGTGTAAAGGAGATGCATATGTGACGGAGGTTGACTTTTTTTTTTTTTTTTATGTCGGAATGTAAATATACAGTAGTGTGTATCGATTAAATCGTATGCGTACTATCTGCTCGACCCTCATCTCCCCGCACATTTGTTCAATTCAAAATGATTATTATAAAGCACCAGCAGAAATTTTTTTTACCAAAGAGTATCACATCATTGGATGCTGAAATAGATTTGGGTGGAATGGTAAATTATAGAATTGGTTGGTGCAGCAGGATAAATGGAGTTCTATATACAACTAATACTTCTCGATTGTTTCTAGTACAGTATATTCTAGTCACAATTACGAAATTACATAAAATAATATTCATCCGCTTCATCAAAAAAATTCTCACTTTGCTTCACAAAACGATCGTTCACACCTTCATATCTAATTAAACCTTTATGGCTGCTCTCACTTCCACTTCTTCCACGACGGCTATTATTGCTGTTTAAGCTTTCGCTCCTACTTCGACCTAAACTTCCATTGTTAAGACTTATGCTTCGACCCACATTATTATTCGCACTCACGAATCTTTTTACACTTCCAGAAACCTCAATATTCGCACTCCCATTAGAATCCCCGTTACCGTTTGAACCTTGACTACTGCTAACCAAGAAGTGTCTGTTAATACCCTCCTCACTGCGAATGCTTCTCAAACCATGGTCACCGTGTAACATGGTACCACCTTGTCTTGCCAAACTTCCACCGCGTTTCAATACGGCTTTGTCATGGCGTATTATTATTTGGTCGAGTTCATTCACACGGATTTGATCGGAACTTTCAGTGCTTGAAGTGGTAGCGGCTGTATTTTTGTTGGTGACGTATCGCGGTAATGTTTGAATAACATTATACTTTGGAGTTGGGGTGTTCCTTGTATTCTGTAAAGATGTGATTGTTGGTGAAGGTGCGGTGCTGCTTATAGTTGGTGAAGGTACGGTGCTGCTTATAGTTGGTGAGGGCGCGGTGTTGCTTATAGTTGGTGAGGGCGCGGTGGCGATTATAGTTTGTGAAGGTATGGCGATGCTTATGGTCGGTGAAGGCGCGGTGCATGTAGCCGGAGAAGGTGCAGTAATTGTTACAGCAGAAAGTTCGGTGGTTTCTATCATTGGCAAATCGATATCTTCGCGAGTCGTTGAATTAAACTTTGCATGAGATGATTGTTTTTTTTCATCACTCTCTGGGTCTACATTGAACGACACAATGGAATTTGGTCTTGATCGAAATAGCGATGGAGTTTCACCATTGGTGGATAATGGGGGCGATTCTTCAATTATTACGGTGACCACTTCTTCTACAGTTATTTGAGAAAGGTGACCAGGTGAGAACAATGATTTTGGCGGCGACAAAAATCCATTGTCGAATGTATCATTCGTGTCCTCTTTAATATTGCGAGATTTTCGATGGTTTTCAGTGGATGACGATGCGGCAGTGTTGTATGTGGGGGGCGTGATGCTAGAGTCGACTGAGGTAGTGGGCGACTCATGATTATCCCACCATCCTTCATTGATGATATATTGAATCATGTTCCCTACGCCGCCTAGGTTTATGGTGGCGTCTGTTACTATATATATCCACATTTCGTCGTACTATTGCCGTGTGCGAGGAAATTTGGAAGCAAACGATTAGGAGGCTTTCTAATTTAGACAATATCACGTGATAAATCTTTTTTTTTTCTTACGTCGATAACCTGACTGAACACGTAGATCATCGGCGGCGTCCATTGGAACAAGAATATAAGCACATAACCAACTATCTTCCTAACCACCACAGGCTCGATTTGTTTCGATTTTGTGGCGGCGGTATCAAATTTGGTCGCACGTTCTTGGCAGAAGTTGACGGAGTTAATTTCTCGCAAGGTCATGGTATAGGAGAATAGGGTGACGCTCAGGATGGTGAAATTTAGAGCGAGAGTTATTATAGGCATTATCGCATTTTTGTGATTTGTGAAACACCTTTATTTTACGTATGTCCAAGGTCAGCGATGGTTTCTGCGCCGCAAACAGGTTCAAAGATGATGCGCACACATACCAATATTTACTAGCTCCAAAACTTGGAATTCCAAATATGGTGAAAGTGAATGACAGCAGCAGGAGGAAACAAAACAGTTTATAATCGTATTTTCCCAGGTCGATATACCATCTCCGGCATATCCTCAGGTAGGTAAGCAGGGCCAATGAGCCCACAAGGGTCATGTTACACGAGATAAAGAAGAATGTGATGCCGCCTATTATACGACATTGAGCATCGGGCCACGGGTGACCATAGATCAGCGAAAATATCTGCCGGGGGGGGGTTAGGAAGATTAGAAGAAATACGAAAAAGGAAGAATTTAGTTTGTGAAAATAATCAGAGGTTAACTCACCAGGTTAGGAAAATAGGTGCATACCAATACAAAGTCTATGCAAAAAAATCATTCACACGTTAGCACACGTTATCTCGATAAGGGACAAAGTCTCGTCGGTTGAATTGCTTACCGGAGAGTGCAATGTAAAAAGGGACTCTCAAGGCCATCGACAAGGATCTTCGGCTATTCCACCATCGTATAAGTGTCCGTGCTATAACATAAGAGGTGCAGATACTGCTTATTGTTATCAAGGTCACACCCAACGGCAATACAATATTTGATCCAGGTACTCGGCCATCTTGTGTCGGCAAGGGAGATATTGAAGGTGAATAGGAGTGAGTCGGAGTTGGTGTTTCTGAGGCGGAATTGTTCATTTGTTAGAATACTCGTGAATGATTGTGAGCTGAGAAAATCGTATTATGAGTGGAAAAGTGAAAAGGAATGTTAATGGTCAAAGAAACGTTTTATGCATAAGTGGTTTGCCGTTAAAAAAAATTTTTAATTGACACCTTTATATATTCCAAGCTAATAAGTATGTTGCGTATTTCTGTATTTTATACGGTTTATTTGATTATGTACGTTCGGATACCTTGGATCGTGTGATTGGATGATCTGGCGCCGAAACATTGTTTTGATAGATGAATTTAGAAGGTAAGATGGATCAGATTGAATTTACACAAGGACCATTGAACAAAAAATAATAAAACAACAATAATAAAATAATAATAAATGAAATAAATCGAGCATTTATGGTGATAGCCTTTTATCAAATAATGCATTGCGTCGTTTTGGGGAACTTACGGTTAATACGGTGTGGAGTTTTTCGTCCAACTAATGTCAATGATTCGTTGCGATTAGCCTTCCGTTCTTTATTTCTGAGGTCGAAGTAATTTGAAACGACCTCCTTCTACGGATACAATTGAAAACGGATTAAGATTTGTTGGAGATTCATTCGAAAAATTTTGGGACGGCCAAATTATATATGTGCTCGTGAACAGAAATGTCTTGGGGCTTATGACGGTGAATTTATACAATTTCATTGACGTTTATGACATTGGGGGTGCACAAATATTTCAAATATAGACAATAGGAATGCATCGATATGCAATTGCCAAAACAAAGAGCGGTTATTTTTTCCAAAACAGGCGTTGCAAAGTCTGTTTCAAGCACTTACCATACAGAGGACGTCACATATTGCAACTATCACGAACCAATTGAGCATCGCTTCGTATACGTGAGCACATAACTGCCTTCAAGAAGCCGACAGTCGGGATTCAATACGATATTTGGAATGTGTGGCATGGCATTCTATATAAGAAAAAGAAAGATACGTTTATTCGTGTGCTGTGTGTAACAATGCCAAACATGTATGATTTCCCGGAAGTTCTAGAAAACAAAGGGTTACCGTAAATCCCAAACGTCAAACAAAGCTATTGTGTTTTTTTTTTTTGCGTTGCAACTTTGACAATAATGGTGTAAACAAATTCTAATAATGAATGGAAACGACTATGTGAATTGCCCAGTCACTTAGTATTGATTGAGTCACCTGTCCGTAACGGTTAAACTGTCTTGTGTATGCCAAGACCTCTCTACCTTTGAACGCCTCGGACCTATGTAGGGTAGGACTCGATAAAGCGTATGAAAAAAAAGAAAACCTTTGAATTTTTTGCTCTTCAAATAAAACCGAGTTAGTATCAATTTGATATCAACAATCGAGCGTTAAAATGTAACATGAGAAAAGAATGATGTGAAAAAAAAATTTCTTTTTCCCGTATTTACTGTACTTAATTTCTTTAAACATTGAATTCATGGTATATTTATAGCAGCAATTAAATGCGTCTGAAATTTTCCTCTATTTTTATCAAATTTGTAACACAAATAATAGTTTTGTACTGTACATTCATGCAGATGCACTCATTAAATAAAAAATACTATTGAGATATGTTGATATTAAAATGGGTGCAAAATAATGGTTTATAAAGATATCAAGCATTCTCTACATTAGAATTGAAGAGGACACGAATTGTCAAAACCATCACTCCAAATCGCTATCTTGCTAGAACCACCAGTGACTGCCAAATACTTTCTTAATCACCAGATTAAAATCCCAACGTAGAAAGAACCATCCATTACAGTATTTGCTGAAAACAGTGAACTCCTCTCATCCGAATTGCCCCAAGCAAAGATTCTTTGTCAGTTCTTCGGAATTCATCATATTCGTCATTCATCACCCTTATGTCAGTGTTGAATCGTGTTCCTAAATAATTGAAAAATGTTTCATCCGAAAAAACGGTCCTACCCCAATTATCTTTAAAATGTTCTTGTGCCCACTTTACTCTGTTCTTTATTTGCTTCGCAGTTAGCATTGGTATTACTTCTACCTGATTTTTTTTTGTACCTATGACATTTTAAATAATCCCACGCAATACCTTTTTTTGATAGTTTGCAGCCAACAATTATGAAGATATTAAAGAATCCCTTCTTATTTGTTGCCCGAGGAACCTTGAAATTTATTTTTGACAACCGACCGCTTCATTTCAGGTGAGCCACATTTCCATATATATTTTTTATTCTTTTTATAATGTTAACTTCGAAACGCCTAGCATTTTGTGTCCATTATTCCACTAGTACTGTATATGATGACTTTTTCTTGCATATATTGAACAGCAATTATACAGTATTTCACTTGACTCGTCTACAAGATTGTGATAACAAACTCGCCTTGTCTCAATGCACCCAAGCCATCTAGGTGTATTCAGATGTAACATACAGTATATCAAATCTAAAGTGAGGAGTTACACTTGTTTAATTTGTAGCATAATATGTTCAAAACCTTTTTTAAATTATCTATATCTTTCAACATCTAGTTAAAGAAATTTTATTAATATAAGTATCTTATATCTTCCATTATCCAAAATGTTTAATTCTTCAACAATGCTTTTACTTTATAGTAATATGAGTTTTGAACTTATGTGAAAGTGGGAACCTTTGTTAACTTTAATATTCTTCTACATTCTTTCAAAAAAAAATACATTCTTATTTGTATCTAGAGAGTTGAAGCTTAGTATAATCTAAAGATCTAATAATCTTTTTGTCTAATTAAAATAAAAAAAAAACTTGATCTCAAATTTTATTTAATTAAAATAATTCTATATACTGTATATCGTTGTAATATTTGTAGCCTGGTCAGATTGGTAATTTATTAATCAAATATATACAGTATACAATATAAATATATTTTTATTTTAGTAGCATAATAAATGTTATAACAAACCTTTTTTATTCAAATTTAATAAACTTGTTATAAACAATAATAAACTTTAAATTTGATCTTAAAAATAATATTTCAATAATAATAAACTTGAATAAAAACTTTTTTAATTTATGTATTATTTTTAACAAATTATTATTATTATATTATACTCAAATTTATATTTGACCAGTGTATTCAAATAAAATTGCTTTTAAAAGAACAATTTCTAAAAAAAAAATTCAAGAAGCAGTTTATAATAAGAAAAAAAGAAATAATTAAAAATAGATTTATCAAAAATCCTTTTAATTAATGTAACATATTGTTTTATAAGAAATATTGTTTACTAAAAATCTGAGTTTATTAATAAATAAAAAAAAACTAACCAATTTCTTTAGTTCTAAAATTAAAAGAATATATCTAATCTTTCAAAAAAAAAATAAAGTTATTTTTATCAACTTATTTTACTTTTAAATAAATTATAATTGCTTATATACTTGTAAAAATAGACCATTTAAACACTTGAGCCTTCTAAGTCTCTTAAATCTCTTGAGTCTCCTAAACTTTCTGAATTTTTTGGATCTTCTAGATCACTTAAACAACTTTATCTATAATAAACTATATTATATATTATATTTGATAAAATAATCTATATTAATTAAGTATCTATAAAAATATCAAAAAATATTAAAAAAATAATTATAAATAATAAATAAAAATAGAAATAGAATGCCAATTATGACTAAAAATAATTATTCAATGATATTAGAAACTATTTTTATTATATTATACAATATCTTATCAAATTATATATATATTTTTTGATCCTTTATCAGGTCAATTATATATTCTTTATTATATATTGTAAGTTATACATTGAAATGTGATACTAAAGTTAAATCTTTAACTAATTTATTTATCAAAGTTTTTATTCAAAACTCTAAATACAATTTCAGAAATGATTTATCACTCTATTGATAGTTTGAGTAAAAACTCTTCCAACTTCTAATATTTTTTTTTTTTTTTTTTTTTTTACCCTCTGTCAGGCTAGTTGCGTGCGCTTTATTAAACAAAAGTAAGCTATACATTTATACAAATATGTGTCGCTAAA